CCCCTGAGCCTGCTTGGTCGGGTATTCTGTGTTGTTGTTGGCTGAGCTCTCTGCTAAAGGTCCACCCGATCCACCATCTTGTTTGTTGTCTGTCGGTTTTCTTTTATCTGAAAATGTCTTTACTTTGATTATTTTAAAGTATTTTCCTTGGCTGTAGTATTCTGGATTTACAATGTTAGAGTTTCTGGATTCTGGGGTGTTCTCTGTCAGGCTATTCTTTTGTTTTCACAGGCAGTTAACTTTACTGAGCTCAGACTGTAAGCATTATATTTCCGACAGTGGGCAGCAACTGGAATCTTAGTTCAGTTGGCTTTGCTTTGGCTGGACTACTTGGAGTCGGCCTTATGCATGTGTAGTATAGGGGTCAGCCAGAGATCCGGGCAGTGTTTATACATGGACGTTAGGGACCACGCCTCTCTTGGCCCTTGCTCTCTGGGAACTGAATTGAAAATCAAGAAATAGGTCGGCACATACATGAACAACTGACTTTCAACAAAGTTACAGAAACAACTCAGAGGGGAAAAAAATACAGTATGAAAAACAGTGTGGGAACAAATGGGTATCAGTATGTAAACCAAGTAGAAACTTTGACCCCTACCTCCAAAATTACCTCAAAATGTATCTGAGGTTTATATGTAAAATCTAAACCATTAAACATCTGAGGAAAACATAGGAGATAATCTTTGTAATCTTGGGTTAATCAAAGGTTTCTTAGCTACAACACCAAAAACAATATAAAAGAGAGAAAATGAGCCAATTGGACTTCATCAAATTAAAACATTTTGTAAACAGCTGTGCTGAGGTTGTTAGATACCATCAAGGGTTGTTAGGTTTTGACCCATAGTAACCCTGAGTCCAACAGAACGAAATACTGCCTGGAGCTGTGCTGGCCTCATTCTTAGTCTATAGAGTGGAGCCATCTTACTGAGGGTCTTCCGCTTTAGTGCTGACCCTCTGCTTCATCAAGCATGATGTCCTTCTCCACAGACTGGTCCCACCTGATAATATGTCCACAGTACGTGAGGCAGAATCTTGTCCTCCTCGCTTTCAGGAGCCTCTGTCTCTGCTTCTTCCAAGACACATTCATTTGTTCTTCTAGCAGCAGTTCATGGCATGTCCAGTATTCCCCGCCAACACCATAATTCAAGTCCATCTGCTTTGTTCTTCCTAATTCTTTGTCCAGCTGCATCTTAGTAGTGACATCGTTGCTCTTGAACACTTTGAAGTCTTTACAGCAGATTTGTCCATTGCGGTATATTGTTTGATTTTTTGGCTTCTGAGTTTCTGTGAGTGTTGATTGTGGATCCAAGCAAAATGAAATCTTGGGCAACTTCAGTATTTTCTGTGTGTATCATGATGTTGCATTTTGGTTCAGTTGTAAGGATTTTTTTTTTTTTTTTTTTAATTTATGTTGAGGTATAATCTATTTAAAAAGTTTTATCTTGGAAGAAAGTATTTGCAAAAGCACACATCTTAATAAATTCTGTGTCCTAAATGTATCAAGAAGTCTCAAAATTCCGTTATAAAATTAAAGCAACCCAGTTTAACAAGTGAGCAAAAGAGATGATCAGATACTTAGGAAGACGCTTGGGTGGTAAATAAGCACATTAAATGATACTAAATGACATTAGTCACTAGGGAAATACAAGTTAAAACTACAATGAGATACTTCTATAAACCTGTTGTTATTGTTAAGTGCTGTCGAGTCAGTTCCGACCCATAGTGACCCTGTATAGGGTTTCCAAGGAGCAGCTGGTGAGCTTGAACCGCCGACCTTGCAGTTCAAACAGCTTTGCAATCTGGTGCATTAGCCCACAGCGCCACACCAAATCATAGCAACCCTATATATAGGGTTTCCAAGGAGCAGCTGGCGAGTTTTAGCCGCCAACCTTAAAGTTCACATCAACCTTGTGATCCTCTGTTTATCCTACAGTGTCACACTAGGATTCCATATAAACTTTGTTGTTGTTGTTAAGTACTGTGGAGTCGGTTCCAACTCATAGTGACCCTGCACAGGGTTTCTGAGGCTGTAAATCTTTACGGGAGCAGAAAACCTCATCTTTCGATAAACCTAGTAGAATAGCTAAATTAAAAAGTGACCATATTAAGTGTTGGGGAGGATGTGGAGCACTTGGAACTCGTATACACTGCTGGTGAGAATGCTAAATAGCACAACAATTTAGGAAAACAATGATCAGTTTCTTAAAAATGTAAACACATAGTTCCTATATGATCCAGCTATTCTACTCCTACATAGGACCAAAAGAGGTGAAAACATTTGTCCATATAGATCCACATAGTTATTCCTAGCAACTTTCTTGCTAATATTAAAACACTGGGAGCAATCCAGTGTCTCTGAATAGGGAAGTGGATGAACAAAGTATGACATAGAATGTTACTAAGTAGACAACAGTGTCCCCCTCCCCCAATGTTTTGCCACTAAATCACCTGGGTCATCATGCTTCTAGCTTCTGATAACAGTTTTCTTGCTGACCGCTGTTCAACTCCTAAGTCAGTGCCTCACGTTTAGAGTTTTTATTGTGTCTTTGATACTCCTGGGTATTAGTTCCTTTATCAGTCAGCACAGGCCACATCATAATGTAGTAACAAACAACCCCAAATCTCAGTGGCCTGAAGGAACAGTTTTGATCTTTGTGTAAACTGTGTGTCCGTCACAGGTTTGCTAAGGGTTCTACTACCTGTTGTTGTCCTTCTGAGATTCAAGCTGAAAGAGAGTCTTTATCTGAAACATTACTGATTGCTGCGAATGTGGACCAATTTAAAGTTGTTTGACAGAAATTAAGACGGTTTTTCAAGCCAGTTGTTTTATTGCATCAGTATTAAGTGGCTTTCTTCTCATCTTTATATTCATGACAGTTTTGAGTAATGATATCTGTTGCTATTTTCTTGTTAAGTAACCTTGTGCCAGTTCTGACTCATTGTGACTCTATACAGTGTTTCTGAGGAGCGGCTGCTGGGTTTGAATTGCCGACCTTGCATTTAGCAGTCCAGTGCTTATCCTACAGCACCACACCAGTAGCTGTAATTTTCTTTAATCATTGGCTTAACAAATTATATAAAACGTTTTTGAGCTTTCGTTTACATTTTAAGTGTTTTAAGATGGGAAGTATATTAGTCTTGTATTTTCAATAAGGAATCAGAGGTCTAGTTGTTGCTAAGTTCCGTCGAGTCGGTTCTGACTCTATCAACCCTATATAGGAATTTCAAGGCTCTAAATATCCGAGAGAGTGTAAAGCCTTATCTTTCTCCCGCAGAGCGGCTGGCAGGCTCAAACCATGGACCTTTTGTGGTTCACAGGCCAGTACTTAACTGTATGAAGCCCCCATGCGCCCAGAAGTCTAAAGAGTAAATTGGTTGGTTGTGGTCACACAATAGTGAAGCTGAACTAAAACCCAGGGTTCTATTTCAACACTTGTGCAGGGGCGAGAAGGAAATGTTTCATCTATTTACCCATTCTTTATCTCGACAGTCTCTTCATCAGGCCACATTAGGAGGTGTCTTGTACCCCTTGCTGCCAGTGACTGGGACACAATGGATCACTCAGGGCCGGTAGACACCGAGGATGAACTGGGACCGTCGGCCCATCTTGTTCCAAGTCCTCAAAGTGAAGCCGTGGCTCACGAATTCCAGGAGCTCTCCTTGCAATCCAGTCAGCACTTACCCCCTCTGAAGGAAAGGAAGAACGGTGAGTTCTCCAGCCTGCATCAGAGCAGCTTTGATCTGAAGGCTTGGGCTTTGCCAGCCCATTTTATTCTGCCTTACTCTTGGTCAGTTACATTGTGTGTGAATTAGATCTGGCAGTCTGTCACTGACGATAACCTCACAGACAGTCTGGCTGATTTGATGAATAAGCACTTTCAGTCCAATGCTTTCATTTTTTTTTTCCTACAGTAACAATTTTTGGTAGCAATGGTATCCTTTAAACAATTCTTTAATACCTTGTATTTTCAAAATTGCTGTGCCTTCAAAAAGTGCCTTCCAACTTCATTTCTCTGGGTAGAGATGATCTCAGCCAAAGTGTGTAGTTAGGTTTGAACAGTCAGACGAAAGGACTTTCACAGTGTTTTGCATCTCCCTCTCTGCCCCTCCAAACGAGTATTGGGTGGTAGCTCTCCCTGCGAAGTACTTGTCTTCTAGTCTGCGAGGTCAGTACAGAGAGCCAGCAAAGGGCTTTCTTTTTTCAGTTTTTCTGAGCATAACTGATAAATGCCAAAATAACCCGTATAATTGACCTTCAAGTAGGAGGCATTATTATAAGAGCCTGGGGGGGTGCACTTTTTCTTGGTAAAATGTTTACGCTATGCACCTAAACATACAGCTTTTGATCACTCAAGATTGTTCAGTAAGGAAGGGGCAAAGTTTGAGAGAACAGCAGATTGGTTTTTAAGGAACAGACCATCATAACTTACATATTTTGGCTGTATCTTTTTATTTTGTCTGAAAAACAAAGCAACCCTGCTCACCTTCAGGTTGTTTTCATCAATCTCAAAACTACCCCCTTCCAACTGTTGTTGGTAAGTGTCATCAAGTCAGTTCCTACTCAGAGCGACCCTTTCTAGGGTTTCCAAGGAGTGACTGATGAGCTTGAACTGCCGATCTCGCAGATCAAATAGACTTTGCAGTCCAGCACATTAACCCACAGTGCCACCCCAGGGCTCCCAACTGTAGTAAAAATTAAAATATGGAATCGGTACCCACACTGATGTTGTTGTGTACCTCCAAGTCGCTTCTGACTCCTAGTGACCCTAAAACAGAGCAGAGCTGTCATCTTTGCTAAGGCCGACTGCCACATCTTTGTCCCATGGAGCGGTTGGTGGGTTCAAACTTGTGATCCTTCAGTTAGCAGCCGAGCATTTAAGCACTGCACTAGCAGGGTTCCATCTACTCTCATTCGCCTCCTCTAATGTGTCACTTTCTGGAGATGAGTTGCCCAGCCTCAGTAGCAGTGCTGAACATCTGCCTCCCTGGTGGCTCCTACAGGGACCAGGTGAAGTGAGGCCCAAGAACACAGGACAGGCCCTGTGCAGCTTCTGCTCTTGGTGCCTGTTGACCAGCCTGTTGGGATGGATTTAAAATGCTTTTCACTCTCTCTCATGTGACATGTGAACAAATTTTTGTTACACAAATGGAGGAAATGACAATGGCTGAGAGTAGATGAGACAAGCAGTTTGCACATAGCAAAATCGTCACTGCTACTTACCTCCTAGCAGAAAACAATCCTAAAATTGGGAGTACAACACAAATTGGGAAAAGCTGGTAGACATTCGGGGTTCCTGGAGCCTCAGAGCAGGAACTCTGTCCAATGGCAGATCTGGGTTCCTAGGGTGCACCCACCAGCCACAGTATTTTTGACAGTAAACTTAAGATTCACTCACTCATTTTAGCACAATTCACACTCTAATGGCATGAATCCAGGAAAAATAGATCATAGGTGTGACTAGATTCTACTCCTACTGTCTCGTCCCACCGCCATTGTGTCGTATCTTAATTTCAAAGTTGACAGAGGGGAAACCATTTGAGTGAGCACCAGGAAAGCAAGAGCTTCCTAGTTCCTATATCTTATTGATTAGTGGTTATTCTCAGTTTGCTGGTTCTCCTTTGTGTATATTAAAATGGGTGTCTATGTTTGTTCTGCCTCTGTTAAGGACATCTTCATTAATCACAGAGGCACCCCCGAGTCTCCTGAAAACATAGCATTGTAGTTTCTAACAGAAATGAATAGAGAGAGATGATGTACAGTAATTTCTAACTTGGAAAACTTAAAAGCTAGCAAATACAAAATTTTGTTAAAATTAACAAATACACTGAGCATCCATCATTGGAAGAACAGACTTAAGAATTTCAGCTGGGTTTATTGTGTTCCCAGAGTTCTGATGAGTTTCATACACATAAATATATTTTAATTTTTCTGCTTTGAAAGCTAGAAGCAATAAAACAGCTTCCCTGCAGAATGCTTTCTGACCGTACCTTGTTACTTCCTTAATCTGACTTCTGAGTTTTTCCTGATCATTCTCATTATTGACCTTAACTTATTCAAGACAGTGGATACAGGCAGTCCCTGGATTAGGTGTATAAACCAATCTCCATAAAGACAGTTGGACAATTGCCGTTGTTTTCTAGTGCTGCTATAACAGCACTAGGGGGTTAGGCAGTGGCATGGCATGTTTTAACAGAGATTTCTTCTCTCACAGACTCAGGGGCTAGAAGTCTGACTCAGAGCGCCGGCTCTGGAGAAAAGTCCTTGTCTCTCTGCAGCATCTGTAGACCCAGACTTGCTTGGAGATTTCCATGCCGTTGGCATTAGTCTTTCCCTGGATATAGGAGCTTGACAGTGCAGGGACCTCAAATCCAAAAGACACACTCCACTTCCAGCTCTTCTTTCTTTGTAGTTGTAGGTCCTCCCTTCTCTCTCCTTTTATCTCTGTTGTCAGATAGAAGGTGTTGTAGACAGCATCCTTGGGAAACTCGCTTACATCAGCTCACGAAGGAACCCACCATTAATTAACTCTTACTGATTTATCCCATTTTGGGTCAGCGTGACATAACTGCCGCATTGCATCATTAGCTGCCAAACCACTGAGGATCATGACCCAGCCAAGCAAGCATATAGTTTATGGGGATACAACTCAATATATGAGTCTTATTATGTTAAAAACTGGAGTTACCTTCAGTGGTCTGTAAAAATAAATGGGCACCACTTTGCAAGTGACATCAAAACATCATCATTATTATTACTGTATTCTTGTATTAAAGATGTTTCAGTGTATCCGGAAATGCTTCTTGAATGTTTTTTTAAGATTAGAAAGGCACACACTATATACTTACATGCCAAGACAAACATTTGATTTATACTGGGTTGCAACCGTGTACCTAACTATTTGGACTTGATGTACAAATTAGACTTCAAGAGAAATTTAGGAACGTAACTCCTTCCTAATCTGGGGCCTGCCTGTAAAAGACATTTACTACTAATCACCGTCCTGTAGAGTGTGACCTTGGAGTGTATTTGTTCTCCCTTCAATTAAGATAGGTTTTGATTTGGACCTGATAGTTGCTGTCAGGCACAACCCTGGACCAGTTTGGGTAGTTGAGAGCAGCATCTTAGTTGAAGGGCTTTCAAAGCCTTCGGGAGGCTGTGGCTTTAGAACCTTCCATCACTTAGGAGCCTCGCTGTGTCTTAGCCAGGGACTGAGGGAAGAAAACCACACTCAGTGACATGCAACTAAATGTGGTCAAATTTAGACAGTATGCTTGGATCCGTTTTGTGTTCACATTATCCATCGCAGAATAAGAGTTGAACTGGTATAAAATTGGAATGTTCAACTGCTCAAGAAAATGGCCCTATGTAGCAGTGGGGGGATGTGTGTAAGGAAACTTGAACTGGTCTGGTGGTCATTTACTGGGTACAGCTCCCCAGGTTTTCTTGCAAAAAGTACTGAGTGTTCCTGAACATAACGTAGCCCTGTATAGAAGGGCCTCCTCTATAAACTTTTAGGGAGGTAGATGAAATGGCCAATTTTTCATTTACTAATTTTGCTGCTGTTAAGTGCTATCCTGTCAGAGCTGACTCATAGTGACCCTGTATAGGGCTTCTGAGGAGCAGCTGGTGGGTTTGAACTGCCAACTTTGTAGTTAACAGCCCGGTGCTTTATCCTACAGCACCACACCAGGACCCCTTAATTTAGTTACGTATACATAACTAACTGGTGTGATGCTGTAGGATAAGCGCTACACCCCAAAGTCGGTTTGAGCAAGGTCAGCGGTTCAAACCCACCAGCTGCTACTTAGAAACCCTATACAGAGTCACTATGGGTTGGAACCAACTAGACAGCGCTTAACAACAACAATATAATTAAAAGGATGTGAAGCAGTGTGATAATAAGGCATATCACTTGTATCCCTGTCACATGTCATGAAGACATTGAGTGCTCACACTCAATCCTGAACCTTTGCTGTCGTCCAGCGCAGACTTGTCTCCAGGGCAGGTATTCACTGCTTCTCTCTTGTTTGGGTGACAGCAGGTTCTGAACGCAGGTATGGTGTGACACTCGACATTTAAACCACAGTTGGACCAGGTTCTAAATTGTCTTGTGTTCATAATATCTACAACATAACCATTTGATATTCTCTTTTTGATTGGTTGTTGTTTTTACCATCTTATATGAGTGTAGTTTCTGAGCTAGACTGTAACCCATTTTCTTGAGTAGGTAATACATTCGTGGGTTGTTGTCTCCACCTTGTCCTTCAGCTGCCCACCCTCGACTCTTCCCAGGAGTCACCACGGTCACCATTGTTCTTGATGACAGAGTAGTGTTTGACTTTCATTGTTAGAGGCTTTTTCTATCAGCATCCAAAATTTAAATCTGAAGAGAATTAATATGGAAATAATAAATGTATTTATTCTCCCCCCCTTATTTATTTATTTATGATCCTATTAGGTTATTTGTATAAACAGGAGACTGGAGAGTCCTTTGAAGGAAGTTTGTTTCTAAGTTAATACGTTTTCCCCACGAGTTCTTTTTTGTTTAATATCAATAAATAATAGAACGCCTCAAAATATGAGAGACTTGTTGTTCAGTGCCATCAAGTCAGTTCCAACTCAGAGCGACCCAAATCTGAGATAGTTCCCTATTTTCTAATGACTAATTTCCCCTCATATTTGAGTATCTCCTCTAAATTTACATG